GCTAGAGACGGGATGGAAATCCCATGACAAATAGTCGGAGCCGCTGCGTGTGGGAAACGCAAGGCTTGTTCTGCAGAGCCCAGCGCCCGGCAGCGCCCAGGCCGCACGCGCGGGGCCAGGGAGTACCTGAGAGCAAGGGTGTTGCCCACTCTAACCAGGACCGACAGCCCAGAGGACCCTGGGGTGGACCCCAAAGGCAGAATGCTGGGTGTGAAGGCCGCCCATGGTGGGGCTGCGCTCTGGGGCCCCCGAGGGTCAGGCCCCCGGGACAGGAGGGGCTGGAGCGGGGTGGGCTGGTGTCTAAGGGGACCGCGTGAGGATGATGAGAAATGCCCTGGAGGTGACGCTGGCGATGGCCGCACAGGGTGGGGTTGTACAGGTAGGTAACAGGGTCAGTGTTGCGTAATTTCACCACAACAGTAAATACAAACATAAGAACGCAGGGCGATGACGAAGGGAGCGTGGAGTGGGCATTCCAGGCAGAGGTAACAGCAGATGCAAAGGCCCAGAGGCTGGACTGTGCCCGCTGCGGCCAGCGGCCTAGAGCGCCATGAAGAGGGCACAGTGAGGGGCTGGTCACGTGGCCTGGTAGCCGACGTGCTCCGTGTAGGGCCCGGGGAGGTGGCTGCAGCGGGCCTGATCCCCAGCTCACGTGCACAGCACTGAGGTAACCGAGCATGACGAGAGGTCACACTTGTTGGGGGGCCGACACGGTGCCGGCACAGAGTGGGCATTCATGAAGTTCTGGAGGGCTTCTCAGAGGGGGTGGCAGTCCGGCTAGACGGGCAGAAGGAATAAGCCTCGCGGGGAGCGGGCAGGGAAGGGGAGAGGCCTTTCTGAGGGGAAGGGAGTGGTGCTCAGCAGCGCAGGTAGGAAAGCTGGGAGCCACCGGGCAGGGCAGCGACAGTTGGGGCAGCCCCAGGTAGGTGGGCTCTGGAGTTGGGGGGGCTTTGCAGCATTTGTAGTGGGTGCCAAGACCTGGCTGGAGAGGCGGCCACCAGGAGCCTCCGGTGTCCCTGTGGAGGCCTGCCCGGCCTTCACCTCAGCGCAGCCAGGCACCGAGCAGCTCTCTGAGGGCCGCTGGGCCAGCGCGGAGGCAGCCCCCGCCCCGCGGCTCCAGCCCCGCCCCGGCACGGCGGCTGGCACACAGTAGGGCTGGCACACAGTAGGGCTGGCACACAGTAGGGCGTGCCCTGCTGACTCGCTGGGCGTCTGACCCCGAGGGCCGCGGACCGGAGGTTCTGACAAAGGGTCGGGAAGTGTCCGGCACGGAGCCTGCCGGAGGCCACTCCCGGGGCTGGCCCTGGGGAGGACTCGGCCCCGCCGGCGCGGCGCGGGGCGGGGGCGCCACGGTCCACAGGGGCGCGGGGCAGTCCGGGGCGCGCGGGTGCTCCCGGCCCGGCGGGGGCGGCCCGGCGGGGTCCCGCGGCGCCCGGGCGGGCCGGCCGGGGCGGGCGGGCGCGGGCCGGGCCGGGCCGGGCCGGGGCGGGGGGCGGGCGCGGGGCGGGGCGGGCGGGCGGAGCGCACCATCGCGGCGGCGGGGGCGCGCGGGCGCGGGCGCGGGCGCGGGCGGCGGGGGGGGTTGCGGGGCGCGCGCGGGGGCGCGGGCGGGCGCGGGGCGGGGCGCGCGGGCCGCGGGCGGGCGGGGCGCGGGCGGGCGCGGGGGGCGGGGCGCGGGCGGGGCGCGCAGGGTCCCCCCGCGGAGGCGGCGCGGTGGCGGCGCCCGCCCGGCCGGCGGAAGTGCCGGATCCGCGCGGGGCCGGCGGCGCGGGGCGCGGGCCGGGCGCGGGGGTCCATGCGGCGCAGGGAGAAGCGGCTGCTGCAGGCGGGGGCGCTGGCGCTGGCGGCCCTGCTGCTGCTGCCCCACGCGGGGCTCTGGGCGCCGCACCGCGACCGCCAGCCCGACGGCAGCCCGGGGGCGCCCGCGCAGGTGAGTCCCGGGGCGGCGGCCCGCGCGCCCCCGGCCCCGACCCCGCCGCCCCCCGCCCCCCGCCGCGCCCGGGCCCCGCGCGCCCCCCGGCCCCCCGCGGTCGCCCTTGCGGGCCGGACGGTTGGGCCCGGGCGGGGCGGCGCCGGCCGCGGGCAGGACCCCGGGCGCCTCGAGGTCCGCGCCCCGCGCGCTCCCTCCCCTGCGCCCCGAGGCGGGGTCGCGCTCAGCCCCTCCCGCGGGGGGCCTCCGCGCCCGGGTCCGGGGCGCTCCCGCTCGCCCCCCTTCTGTCGGGGTCGCTCTGCTCCCGTGTGTCCTGCTTTGATCTGCCCCCTTCTTGGGGCCTCCCCTGCTCCCCGCTTGCTTCCCAGCCCTCTCCCTTCCCCGGGGGCTCCCTGGAGGAGGCGAGGAGGGTCACTCCCCTGGAGCTTCAGGTGGGAAGGGGTGCGCTCCTGGTCCTTGAGGGCAGGCTCCCTTTGCCCTGGGAATCCAGAAGTGGGGACTTAGGCGGGGGCACCCCCAGATTTCCCAGGGGCTGTTTGTGCCCAGTGCCCTGGGCACCGGACGTCAGACGCCCTCCCTGCTCCCTCTGCGCCGCGGGCCCTTCCGAACCCCTGGGTCTGGTCAGGTGCCGGCAGTGATGCTTCTGCCTCCTCTGAACTCACCTGTGTGCGCGACCCCCGCGGGGACTGGCGGGCCACAGCACAAGTCCTGTGGGACGGCCCCTGCCCGCCACGCTGGCTGGACCCCCGGCCCCGGGGACGAGGTTTCATTTGTGCTTCGGGCGCAAACTTGGCTTCTGTTTGGCGGGACGAGGGAAGAGCCGGCCCTCCAGGCTGGCGGCGGCCTCTCGGCCCTGCCGGCTGTGCCATGCTGGCGGCTCAGGGCGGCCGGTGCAGATCCTGCTCTGGCCCGCGGTTGGACTCTCGCCCCTGAGTGGGCTCCAGAGGCGCTTTGCCGTGGTGGGGTCTCTGCTCTGCCCCCGCCTGCAGCGGCATCCGGTCAGGAGGGCCGGGTTCTGTCCTGCCGTCGTCGGCTGTGTGTCCTTGACCCGTCTCGTCTCCCTCTCTGAGCCTCCCTGTTCCATCTGTCAAGTGTGGCGATGGGGCCAGTCCCCCCTTCCATGGTACCCTGAGGGCCTCAAGGACGCCACAGTGGCCACGTCCCCTCCCCTGGGACAGGCATCGCCGGTTGAGGGGGCTCCAGACTGGACGCGGCCCGGCCCGGGGAGGAGGGGAGACAGCTGGCGCTCCACCGGGAGGAAGCCCTCATGTTCCCTTTGCTGGGGTGCCGGAGCCCCCCAGTCTTCCTTCTCTGCAGACCCAGACGCAGAGAGAAGGTCAAGGTTAACTGCCAGTTTGACCTGAGCTTTCCAAGTCGGTTCCTCACTCATGCAAGAGAGATTGGCTGGACTCGGGCCTCCTTTGGGGCCGGGGCGAGGGGTGGGCTGCAGCCGGCGATGGCCGGAGCCGCTCGTCAGAGCCCCCAGCTAGGCTCAGGGGGATGCCCGGCTCCTGCTCTCCTCCGCTCTGGATGGTGATGAAGAGCCGGGAGGAAGCGGTCAAGGGTGGGGGCCACAGCTGACCGCGCTTCCTGTGCAGGGGGCCTCTCTGCTTCCCGGGAGCGGCTCTTCTAGGTGTGGGGGCCCAGCACGCACCTGCTCCTCCTGGGCCGCGCCGCCAGATCCCCACACTGCCCCTTTTGTTCCGCTCTCCCGCAGATGCTCGGCCTGGGCCAGCCTTGCCTGCGCGTCGTCAGCTGGCCTCGAGGCCTCCCTCCCGCCCTAGCGCTGGGACTTGCGGGGAACACGGCCAGCGACGGCGGGGGGCCCGGGGGCCTGGGGGCCCTCTCCACAGCGCCGGCCAGTTCTGCGTGCAGGGCTGGCTCTCTCGTAATCGTTGAGAATGATCCAGAACACCCTGCGGGTCTCCCGGGCAGAGAGAGCTGTAGGGCTCTGGGGGGCGTTCGGGACGTCGTCAAATGGCGCGCGGAGGCCGGCCCGGAGCTGCCTCTCTGAGGGTCACTTCCGCGGGCCGAGGGGCCTCCCAGCGCGTCTCGCCGCCGGGGGAAGCTCCGGCCTCTCCTCCGCCGGCCGCGCGCAGTGGGCGCTGTCTGCCCCCGGCGTCCACGCCCGCCTCCTCCAAGGCTGCAACACCAAGCAGGGGATGCCGGCCCTGAGGCGGCTTCACTTCCGCTGGGGGAGTCTCTCCTCCGGCCCGTCTGCCCCGCGTCCCGGCCGCTGCGACACTTGCCTGGAAGCGCCCGCTGGGCCGTCCGGGGTCTGAGCCCTGCTTCTTGGCCCGGCGTGGAATGGGGGTTCGCGGGGCCCGCCGGCCTGAGTCTCCTCCTGGTGTCAAAGCTGAACTTGACTCCCAGCACAGCCAGAAGTCGGGGTTTTCCCTCTTTTTTGCCGTCTTTTCTTTCTCCCGGTCTCCTGGCAGCAGCACCTTCCCTGTCAGAAAGCTGAGCCGCGGGAGCTGTGGCCAGGAGGATCCTCTCCCGGGTGGGGGTGGCTGGGCCCCTACTCGCTGCTTGCCCAGCTGAAATCCGACGCCCGTGGGCGGGTCTGCGGTGGCTTTCGCGTCCTGCCCCCAGGCTCCCGGGAGCTGGCCAAGGCAGGCCTGACCACACGGGCCCGCGGGCTGCCCTTCCCTTGCCTGGCGCTGGGCGGCCACAGGGGTTTGCCAGGCGATGGAGGGTGTCAGCACAGGGGCGGCCTCCTGAACGGGCTGGCGCACCCCCTGGTCTCGTGGGCGCAGAGGCCGAGGCCCAGGAGAGGACGGACATCTGTGCTCAAGGGGCGGACGCAGAGCGGAGCCGTCTCGAGTGGCCGCTCCGTTTCAGCACCACCGTTTCTTCCCGCCGCGCCTCACGACCTTTCTGGTCGCTCCCGAGCCAAGGCTACGTCGCTCCCCGCTCAGAGGCCCGTTCACTGAGAGGAGCACCCGGCTTCTATGGCGCAGATCCGTATTTGTACATTTTCTGACACGTGAGGCGGCAGCGGGACCAGCAGGGCGCTGGGAGCGGGCTGCGTGTCGCGTGCCCTGGCAAGCTCGTGGCGAGCGCCTGGAGCCCTGGCGCGGGTGGCCGTGACTGCACTGGCCGGGCCTGAAATGAGGGCAGGACGTGTTCGCTCCTGTCACGGCACTGGGCTTCGGGGACGGCGTGATCTGGAGGCTCAGCTGCTGGCCTGAGCCCCCATCGGAGGTGAAAGAGCAGCTCTCGGACCTCCTGTCCCCCGGCCCGCCCTGCGCGGGAGGGGCCGTGTTCTCGCCAGCACCTGTGCAGGAGGGGACTTGCCTGCAAGTCCTGGGCTCTCCAAGGCGTGAGCAGCCCCCTTTGGTTCTGATGCGCTCTCTGGACTGTTCAGTCACGGGGCTGAGCGGTGCTGGTCAGTGGACCCACCAGGAGCCAGGCAGACGCGGCCCTCCACATTGCCGGAAGAGCCAGTCCCCAGAGAAAAATCTGGGTGCTCTTGTGGGGAGGAGAGGAACTGGAACTGCGGGAGAGGCCACCAGTTCCACTCGAGTCCCAGGAAGCTGCTCCTGGCACAGAAGCCCCGGTCTGCAGGCCAAAGCCTCCATGCCACCCTCGGCTCAGGTGCAGAGCATAGCCCAGAGGCCCTGGGGCTCCCGGTCTCCCCAGGTCCAGAGAGTCCAGTGATGCAGGTGAGCCCTGATTTGATCCTACTTGTGAGCTCTGCCAGCCGCCACCCCACGAGGAGCAGAGTCTGAGAGCCCCCCACAGACACTCAGTCACACACCCAGACACACACCAAGTCCGCCATCGAGGGCTCCTCTCACGATGGAAGAGAACTTGGGGCTCGGCAGCCAGGCTGGCCCCCAGCCTCGCGCTGGAGGGCGACGTGCTCTGGAAGCCGAGCAGCCGCGCTGGCCGGGCCGAGGGTATGGGGGGGTGTGTGTGTCTCACCCTCATGTCTCTCTTCTCTGCACTCTGGAGGTGCCTGCTCCCCGCCCTCCGCGGAGTCCAGAGAGCGGGCAGGAGCCTCCCGTCCCCTATCCCCTTCCCTGGGGTTCTGAGGGAGGGCCCCTCAGCACCGGGCAGACAAACCCTGTTAAGTTCTCCTGCTGGGGACGGCGGGTGGGCAGCCCAGGGCTCTGGGTGCTGGTGCTGGTTCTGGTTCCCACCCCGCTCGCTGGGCTGTGTTGGAGGCCGTGGGTCTCTGAGCCAGGACCGAGGCTGGACCAAGGACCTGGGGCCGCTCTCCCCCCCACCAGCTGCCAACCGGTATCTGAGCAGAGGGGGTGCCATGAGCTCTCTGGACGGTCGTGTGTCCCTGAAGGGGGGTTCCACCCCACCCCTGCCGAAGCCCCAGGGCCAAGCCCCCACGCCTCCTCTGCAGAGCCTGGGGGCCTGCACTGTGGCCGAGGCCAGACGGCGTACAATGCAGACCCTGGGCCTGGTGAAGGCCTCGGGCGCCCTCTCTCTGCCACACCCCTAGTCGTCAGCACCCCTGAGCCAACCACTCCCCAGAGTCCCAGGCCACTCTCCCCGGGGTGCCTGGGGACCCGCCTTTGAACTTAGGTTCCTGGGAAGTGTGTTTATCTGCAGTTCTGAGCCGCCAGCCAGAGCCCCGGGGGAGCTGGGAGGGCCTGTGGGCAGAGCCCCAGGGGAGCTGCAGAGTGCCTGTTGGCAGAGACGTTGGGTCTGCCAGCGGCTTGTGGCCGGATCCGAGATCCGGTGGGCGATGCTCTCTGCAAGGCAGGGCTTGGGGCTTGCACTTCCTCCAGGGTGGGGCCTCGGCCTCCCTTGGGCCTGGGCCAGGAGCCTCCTGGGAGGGGACGCAGCAGTGGCCCTCAGGCCCTCCGGAGCTGAGACCTGGACCAGAGTCCAGCCCAGCCCTGCCCGGGTTCCTCTGGGTCCTGCCCCTGGGCTCCAGCCCCTGCTCAGGAGGGCCCAGGACCACCACAGCCAGGTCGCCGTGACGATGAACTAGCTCAGGTTAAAGCAGAAAGCTGAGGTTCGGAGAGCGCAGACCGTGAGGCTCGGGAGGGCGGCCGCGAGGATCCGGCCCAGCTGAGAGTGCCCCTCTGGCCAGCCCTCCCTGGGGAGGCTATTGGGAGGCCCACAGCGGGGCTAGTGTGGCCGGGAAGCTCTTCACTGCTGCAGGCCGCAGGCAGCAGCGCCAGGGCAGGTTCCAGCGGGGCCCAGGGCCGGGGGGTTCCCCCTAACCAGGGCTGTGTCGTGCATCCCAGGGCGGGGGCTCCCGGGACGACAGGTCGGGACGTCTGGGGAGAGCGTGTGAGAATCACGCCTGTTGCTAAGAAGTGTCGTGCGCCCCCTGGAAACAGTCACTTCCGCGTGCTTCCTGCTGAGTATTGATCGGCCCGAGCCCGATTGGTGAGAGAGAGAGAGAGAGAGAGAGAGAGAGAGAGAGAGAGAGTGTGTATATGTGGTGGGGCAGGCGCCAGGTGCTGAGCCACCCCAGCCTGCGTGGAGAGCTGGCGATCCCGCCGCGGGCTGGGCTCCGCGTTTGGGTGCTGGTTATTTTATGGCTAATAAACCTTAATGACTGTCTCCTTCAGAGAACTCCTTTTATTGTTTAACTGGGCCTTCGCGTTGCTGTTGTCTTACACCTGGCCTGTGTGCTTGGAAGGAGGTTGCAGGCTGCTGCCCGCCCCCCGTCCCGCCTGGGCTTGGCCACTTTCCGTGAACAGTTCAACTCCCGGCGCACGGGGACACGGCGCGGCGGCGAAATTCCCACTTCCGGCTTCTGGGCAACCATCGAGGTGCGGCCGCTGGGCCGGGGGCTCTGTCCGCTGGCCACAGCCCGGTCACACGCTGCCCCTCCCCACCGGCCGGCCTGGGAGCCCAGTTGCAGAGGAGGAAACTGAGGCTCGGGAGTGTCCTCAAGAAACGGGGCCAGAGCCGGTGCGTGGGGTGGGAGGCCCGAGGCGCTATCCAGGCTGCTGCACACAGGGGCCGGCTGCAGGGTGGGTGCGGAGCTCGGCCCGGGGGACGCCCTGCTGTGTGCCGGGCGCTTGGCCCCTGGCGAGGCCTGTCCTGGCGCGTCTGTGGGGTGAAATGGCTGTAGGCGTGCGCACAGCCCGGGGAGCACAGCCCGGGGTGGAATGCGGGGGGAGAGGCTTTCCCAGGAGGAAAGGTGTACAGGTGCCACATTCCCCGGGGGGAGAGGCCGTTCTGGACCCCTCCGACAGGGGAGACCCCGGGTCTGCGAGCTGAGGCCCTTGGCTCCAGGCCCCTTCAGGAATCTTCCCTCGGGGGTGCTGGGTGGCCCTGGGGCGTGGTGTACCCCCTGCCGCTGGCCCTGCTCTGCAGCTCATCTCACCAAGTGAGCATCCAGGGAGCTTGTGCTCTGACTGTGCCCCCTCCCCTGCCGAGAGAAAAATCAGGGGCCCAACCACAGTCGCACCAGCCACGAGTCCTGCTGCCACTCTTGGCCGCCCCTTCCTTGCTCACCGAGGCCAGCAATGCTGCCAGCCGGGGGAGCCGGCTAGTCTTCAGCTGGGGACGCAGCTCCTCCTGCCGCCCTCCCTGGCAGGCATCAGGGCCGCCCCCGCTGGACTGCCTTCCCCGCCAGGCGCCCTGCCGGATGCTCCCCAGGTGCTCCCTGCCTAGGCCCCAGAGGGGCTGCCCTTCACCTCCTTGCAGCAGGAGAGCCGCCAAGACCTGCCGGGACCCTGGGGCACGTTGGGAGGCTGCCAGGCCAGAGCATTCGAGGGATGTTTGACTCACTTAACCCGACTCGCAGGCTCCTGCGCTCTTCTGTGGCCTCAGGGACTCCCCCACTCCAAGCTCCCACCTCCCCTCTCCCGAGCTTTCTGCCCCACCCCCCATGACGTGTGTGTCCCTGCAGTGTCTCCGGCCTCTCCTGGGACATGGCGAAGGTCTTCTGCGCAGGGGAGTGTCGCCTGGGCCGGCTCCACTCTGCACAGAAGGCAGCAAAAGTGGACAGGATGAGGGGTGTGTGCATCCCTGGGGGCTCTGGCTTGCCTGCTGCCTGCTGTCCGGGCTCTGGGGGGGTCTGTGGCGGCTTCCAGCATCAAGCACTCGGTCCTTCTGGGGCGAAAATGTAAGAACATTCTCGCTAAGTGGATAAAGACTATAAATAGTCTCGTGTCCGTGAAGGTCGGCTCTCGTCGCTAACTGAGTGCATAGGAAGGGCTTTCGGATTCTGGACTCAAGGCTGAGGGGCTGGTGATCCACGGCTGCTCACCACCTTTCTCCAGCCGCTGCCACAGGGGCCTTTGCACGCTCAGCCGTGCCGCTGGCTCCCCAGCTCAGGGCTCCTGGGAGCCACCCCCCCCCGCCCCCGCCTCTCTGCACCCCCGCCCCGGCCCTCCGCTCACCCTGGCCTTGAACACTCTCCGCGGGTGAGGTTCTCACGGCGGGGGTGCTGGTCCAGTGCCCAGGTGCACACACGTGTGCCAACATGGGCGCCCACAGACACACGCCAGCCACAGGCAGACGCTGGCTGCCCCTGCCCTCTGCCAGCTCCGGCGTGGGGGCCCAGCCTTGGGGGCTTTCTGGGCCTTCCTGCTCCACCCCCACCCATTGGAGCTGTTTGCTTTAAAGCGTTAGTTTGTGATGCCCGCGAGGATGGCGCAGGCGGCTGACTGTCCCCCTCACCGCCTCATCCGTGGCTGGCACCATGCCTGGCCTGGACGTCGCCCATCCGTGGGGAAATGAACAGACATTTGGGTGGACCCCACACCAAAAAAAACAAAACCAATTAGCCTTAAAGGCCTTTACAGCAACAGCCGGCGGGACCCGCCTGGGAAGCCTGACCCGCCCCGGCTCTGTTGGTGTCCAGGGTCCTGGCCCGATGTCCCTATTCTCAGGAAACACGCGCAGGCTGAGGGGTGAGGGCTTGTCACAGCTTCAACTTTGTCTCGTGTTTGGGGAAGCCCATTACAGGTGGGTGGGGAGCCGAGCACGGAACAGCCATGAGGAAAATGGTCACAGCAGCACCAAGGGGAGGCTGCCTCTGTCCCCGCCCAGCCGTCACCCGCCACCCGCCCACCCGTATCTAAAACTACCTGCTGGTACCATGTGTAGACGGTGCATTTTCTCTGTAGTTTGAGATTATTTCACTATAAAATTTTTGTGTAATTTACTGGAATAAATGAACAGGGAGGGGTCAGGACCCCCAGTGTGAAGGCGGAGGGCAGGAGATGGCTCCTGAGGAGGCGCCAGGGGCTGAGCAGCGGGCAGTGGCGGGAGGAGCGGCTGGGTGAGCTGGTGCCTCCCGCCGGCTGGTGCTCACGGGGCGGTGCGGACGCTGGGGGGCCTGACCTGCTGGGGCGCCTCCCCTGCCAGAACCCCACTATCCTGGGGTCAGCTTCATGCTGGACTCGCCTGGGGCCCTAGGTCTGGTTCCAGATGGGGCGTGACAGGTCACCCCAGCACGTGGCTGCCGCAGCAGACACATGACCCCTCGTCGGTGCGGGTCCAGAATCTGCTGTCCTGAGGGGCCCGTGACTGGGCAGAGGCCGCCCGGCCCCCGCTTCCGGCCACTGCACGGAGGTGAGCTCAGGCTTGGCCCGTGAGGGCCTCTGCGTTAATGGCTTTTGTTGCTTGTTTTTAAGTAACGGTGCTTTCGTGCACTTCTGTTGAAGGACAAGACGTTGCACATTATAAGTGTGCGACGCGGACTTCACAATCCGAACCATCGACGTTTCTCTTG